TTCGGAAATAATCAGGGAACCTAATGAAAGATATTCATTAGAGAATCTTAAACGATATGCAAATACTAAAGTTGGTCAAATAATGCTAGAGGCAAAATTACATGGCATTAAAAGCTTCGAAGCTTTTATTAAAGGGGACATCGAAATAGCAATTCACGAACAGTTTCAAGCATATAAGCTCTGTGAGTTGGTTTGCAGCACAAAACCTGTTTATATGGAATATGGGAATATTGATATTTTAAAAGATTTCATTGCTAACAATCCGTGTAATGCAGAAGCAAAATTTGTCTTAGCATTTACGTATTTTAGCTTTGGAAAATCTCATGAAGTGGTTTTCAGTTTAATGGACGAGTGTATTGCTTTGTCCCCTCTCGAATCGACATATTATAAATACCGGGGATCTATGAAATGCTTTGATAATAGATATGAAGAAGCAATTGAAGATTTTGACATGGTGATAAAAATTTGTGGTTCTATACAAGGATATGGAATCTATTATTCACGTGCAGTTGCTAATAGGTTGCTCGCAGATAAAATATTGCTTTACATTATTTCTTCACAAAAAAATATATCCAATAATCCTGAACGTCCATACTACAAACGTTCTTTGTCCGATTATGAAACTTTCCTCAAATTTGCTCCGCCCGAAGATCGCAAAATCCCCGAGACGTTTTACGGCATGGCATTGTGCTATACATCTTTAAAAGATTTTAAAAAGGCCAAAGAATGTTACGACTGTGGTCTTGAAGCAGAAAAAAAACGACTGCCAGTTTTCGGTCCATTTGATTTCCCTCCTAAAGCAACTTTGGAGGCTGAACTTGGGTTATTTTCATTTTTAGAAAACCCAAGCGTTGCAAATATATGTCCAGTGTGTAAGAAAAAAGCATATAAAATTTGTGCCAAATGCAAAGGTACCTGGTACTGTAGCAAAGAACATCAAAAACAAGATCGGAAAGTCCATAAGAATTATTGCGCTTAATTCGGACTGTCATTACAGAAGTGCTGCATTATGATTTCTATGAAACTGTGCTTTATAAATCCATCTATTTGGTTTGTTCATAAAATTTATTTATTTCATCATCCCTAAAGTAAATTACACGTACATTTCCCTTTTGTTACTACAATATTTTTTACCATTGTCGTTGTATATTATTCATATATTGCTTTCTGGAATAAGATTTATATATCGTTCATAACATTCAAAAAATTGACGGATTATGACTCAACTAGTGAGAATTTAATAGTAGGTATGAAATCAAATTTTAATGGTAATAAAACCCTTATTCATATTTAAAATTGCCATCTAATCTGTAGATCTCAAAAGTTAAATAATAAAATATTTTCGAAATATTAAAATGTACAATACACTGAATATATACGTAAAAAGAGCCAGATAACAATTAAGACATTTTATAAAATCATTATAATAATTATATGTTATTTTATGGCATTTAAAAAGGTTATCTTTATTAAATTAATTTTACATACGCTTAAAAATGCGTACATTGGAATATAACTATGATGGCTATTTTATAGGAAGAGTTATCGTGTTTGTATATTATAAAAATGACCACGTACTGTACCACTTAAAATTTATTGTTATTATATTTGTCTTTTAATAAAGTAAATAAATAAATATACGTACTGACTGTATACTGTATATACAAATAAATTCCGTATAAAATAGACAGATAAAGTTTTTTTAATATATAGCGCTTTACGATTTTTATCTACTTACTAGATAGTGGGATAATGGTTAGTTTGCTCGACATTAAAATTTTAGTTTAGGAATTAGGTGTGAATAAATAGCCATAATATAGTTTTGGTCAAATATACGTAATACGTATCAATAACAACTATTATTAAAAAATACCTAATTTATAATCGTACCATTTTGAAATTGCATAGTAGAGATTTTTTATAATGAAGATCGAACATCATATCAAATCAATAATAGACCCCTAAAGACAGAAAAAAAAAAATTTATAATTTATCAACTTAGGTTATTTGTTTTCGATAGATAAATGAATTATAAAATTATTTAAATGCCAACTTTTTTGCACTTACGTGACCGATAGATATTAGCATTATTATTTTTTTTATGCCCACACTTGTAAGTTAGCATAGCTATCTGCGTATTATTGTATTTAGAATACACTGTAGTTAATTCATTTTCATTTAATACCGATACTGAATCAATTTCTCTGTCAAGCATGACTACTATTCTCGCTTATTTATTCTATATATTATTGGAGAAAAGAATGTACGCAACTTTCGCAGTAATCACGTGTCATAACGTCACGAGGAAAGTTTGCGCGAAACTTGCCCTCATACCCCTTAAAAGATAAAGAATTACATGCAACCAGATGAGACAAAAAGACAAGGTCTATCAGCTAAAGTAATAAAAAGTTATGTGATTTATACGACATAATAATATAATAATATTGATTATGTAATAGACTACGTATGTATTAGAAATAAAAAAGTTCATGAATAAATAAAAAAAATAACAAGTTTTCATTTACAGTATGTCTGTATCGTACTTTTTAATAACTATCTAAAGATTCTTTTTGTGTGTCGCGGTTTCTTTTTTGAGCTGGAGACATCTCTGTCCGAAAATTGCAAGAGCCGAAGGTCATTAACAACAGACTCTGATTAAATATTACATTAGTATAAAAAATATAATATAGGAACGGAATCTCACTACGCTCTCTCCGTATCATGCCTACAGAATTTCTAAAATAATTGTAATTATTATTTATTATTTTCATTATTTCTTACAGAAATTATCGTATCTAAGGACGAAATAAGAAAAGGAAATATAGGGAAAATTTAACAAAAAATCTGTGGCTCATATAAGCACACCAATGTCACAAGAATATGGTTGTATAGTACATATATAAAGTATTTCTTATGCTTCCAAATCGTTCTCAACTATGGCATTTGACTTACGTATTTTTGTTTTGTATTAGTTTGGTTTTATTTAAGATTTTTGCAGGCTATATGAGTAATTCTGGGTTAGAATTAGACTTCCTGTGATATACTGTATACGGTACGTACTGTTTATACAGCACATCTGATACTGCACTATTTATTCAGGAAAATCAATTCGGATTTTTGTCACTTATACAAGTCAAGAAATATAACGCAGTGACAATAGTCATATTCGTCTCTTAACGGTTTACTCGCAACATAACTTACGTAAGAGTCTAACTATTTTCATGGGGCCATCGTTGAGTCTGTCGCTAATTTGCACAGCTCGCGTAACAGCGAATATAAATTACACACAAAACCCTCTTTAGAGGCGGTAGGTTTTGTTGAGTTTAAGGTGTTAATTTATTAATTAAAGAAATCAGAGGTCAACTTTACAAATGCGCTACGTGTTACTTATATGCGTAAGTACAGTATATGCTCTATGCTATACGTATTATCTAACATATCCGTTTAACTCACTATATACGTACGTACAATACATATATTAACCACTTTTACACAGCCTTTTATGCAGCAACTAATTGTCTAACCTTATTATACATAACTTACATTTTTTATGAACGATGGGAGGCCATTTCGTGATTAATGACCTAATATCATGCGCCACAATGTGTCGCGTCTCATTTACCCCCTATATTATTCATAGATAACATGGTTCAGCGCGTTAGTAAGCATATTTATAGGTAATAGCTTTGATTTACTGTATTTGTTTGTATATGACCCTTAATTTTTAGTTGAAAATGTGTTAAAGTTTAACAATTTATCTATACGTATATTAAATCAATGCATGTATATATACTGCATATAGCATTGTCTAAAGAATATTGCGTATATTTGACAGTCTAAACGATGTGAGTGTTCAAGTAAATCTTATGTTTCCTTTTAATTTTAATATAGCATGTCTTAAATTTTTTCCTCATAATTCCTTAAAAAAAAAAAAAAAAGTTAAATAATAAAGAAAATAAAGAATTGTTTTTTAAAAATCTCTTTTACACCAATAATTACTGTATCATAATCCATATAAATGGAAAGATTGCCTTATTGCTTATAGTATTTCCCCTATATTTGAAAACCACGTTACTATCTGCTGCGTAAAAATATTTTTTCTTTCGGTTATATCTATTAATGCATATAATATCAAGTGGATTCCTTTTTTAATAGTAGTATAAAGAAACGTATTTAAATCCGAATGAAAATCATTGAAAGTCTAATCCTGTATTTCCAAATTCAGGAAGAAAAGGTGAATATGTTGTGTGTAAAACAAATTCAGAGAGAGGTGTGGGTTGTGTTTGGTCTGACAATGAGGTTAGCGCAAAATCAGACCCGGTGAATTCAGAAGATAAAAATGGAACATCGAAAACGTTGAATGATGGAGATAGTGCGATCGATACAGGATCTGCAAATTCATTTGATATTAATAATGAGGGCTCCGTGGGCTTACTACAAGCGAATGACATAGCAGGTTCTTCCAATGAAAATCCAGTAAAGGGAAAAGGATTTGCTAGTGGAATGTTTTCGGTAAACGAGAGTTGAGTGCACTCCATGGGCTGGACCAATTCATATGATGACGCAGTCAATGAGCTGGTGATATTGACTGGGTGAGAATCGGAAATCAAGTTGCCAATGGAAAAAACATGATCAAGATTTTTGTGACTGTGTGCAAGCATCCTGTAATAATTTTTACGCTCATGCGGCATTCTTCTCCAGAAAAACGATGCCAACTTAGCGCTTTCGTTCCTGTTAATCTTGCAACTAACAATTTTGCTTATGGATCTATGATACAAATTAAAGTATATTCTCCAAGGATTGTTTTCTTTTTTATTAACAGGAACTTGAGCATTTTCCGCCTTTTTTTTTCTACGGAAAGAGCGAGACTTGACTTTGATCCTTGATTTTCCTTGATTGCGCGCAGATAAAGACATTTTTCGCGGTATCTTATCTAACACTGAAATATTTGATTTAACGATCATAGAAATTCACGTTTATTTATATCTATTCAGACAAAGTAATATAAATAAAATATCAATAAACGTACAAAATTTACAAGACTATGGAACTTCAGAAAAAGAATGTAAGTGATTTCAACGCGGAATTTGATGTTTAATCAAACAAAGAAAAGTTATTGAACATGGTTTAAATTACTTGATGGTAGGAAACTAAGCTCCGATAGTGTGGAGTATTCTAATAAATTTCGTGCTTTAGTATTAATTAGTTAATTAAATGAAAACTTTTTGAGCCATATTCCTTTACATGCTTTATTTTATCATTGGCAATTCATAAAAGGAAACCAATTAAAGATAAATGCGCAGCCTCGTTTATTATTTGTGGATATATTTTTGTAAAATAAAGAGTAATGATCTTGATAATAATACGGTAACAAGCGTTTTAATAAATATTGCTTCGGAAAAGAAATGATCTTATATATTTGCAGTAGAGAATGCTAGTGAATCCGATGAGTATTCGCGTTCTTGTATTATAAATCAATCAAACAAAAATTCCCGCATTAATGTCATTTTAGGGACAACCAAATAGAAATGACGTCAATTTACTGTTTCCTTCTTTAATGTATCAATGCACAAGAGTACGGAATATCTAAAAATATTTAATCCGAATATGCTTAAACAATGCACGTACAGTAATATATGATGATCGATGATTACGTTACGTGATTTTAAAGAAATAATGGCAATAGATCAACCAATTAATAGATATGATACGTATTTAGAACAGACAGATCGAACAGAATGTTAACGGAATTAATGTAGCCAGTAATGGAATCTGACTAGAGAATTCCTGTTGGCTGTGCCTTACAGAATTCAGTTTTTTTATGCATAACCTTTTCGGTGGAAAATATTGTAAAAAAAAGCCATCCTTGGAGAAATATATAATTTTGCGTTAATAAATTTCTTTGGCATATTATATCTGTTCAAAAAAAAAAAAGAAACCTTTATTAGGATAACATTATACAATATTTGAGATATTGAATTCTATATGTAATTCTCTCTCTATATTTTATATTTTATTTGTTTATTTATTTATTTATTTGCTTTATTAGTGGAATACATATGCTATGATGAGGCTTAGTCCCTCAACATTGTAACGGCGCCGACTCTGTGATTACAAAAATGGATAATAAGCCCACAGCGGTTAATTATAATAAAAACCGTTGAAAAGAATTCCAGGCGAATGCCTTAACATATACCATTTAAGTACAAAAGCGCACAGCACAACTGTTGATGATCAACCATTATTCGACGATCTTTCTTAAAAATAAAATGAATCAAAATTTTGACCGGATCTCGGATAAAAATCTTCCGACCGATATTATGAAGTCGAATTCGCAATATATATTGTATATCTTGAATAATCTTGATCTTATTTTTTTGTACATTTATCTATATATTATCTTGTAAAGGTTTTTGTTTTATTATTACACTTTTTAAATCTATTTATTTAAATATCTATATATTATCTTTTAAAGGTTTTGGATTTATTATTACACCTTTTAAATCTATTTATTTAAATATATCTATATATTATCTTTTAAAACAAAAAACTCTTTCCCGCAGATTCTTTTTTTTCTTAAAATATCCTTTTTAGGCAATTTTGTGAACTAAGAAGAAAAGTGAACGGAAAGATGAATTCTCCAAGAGAACAATGAAAGCAATATGCTCAAGGCAGACCCAACTACAATGAGAACATCCTAGCTAAAGGTAACACAAGGTTGTCACGCAAAGAAACACAAATAGCAAAAGATAAACTTTTGAAGAAAGATAAAGGGAAAGAAAAGGAAACTTAGCCAAAAAACCCTGGAGACGAACTGCAGCAACACACAGACACTAGCCAGACTTCCAATCCCTATCAAACAATGGAAACAAGACAACAAAACAACAAAAAACAATCTCCATAGAGTGAACAAGTCAAAGAAACAATTCGGCCAAATTTAATAGACAATAATAACCAAGCAAACATAGGCAACACGACTACCAGACCCTGCATCAATCATGAAGCCCATAAGTCTATATCTGACAATGATAACTCTGATATAGAGATGAAGGAATTAAGTACTAGTAGAAAAGACAACCAACAAAGTGAAGAAACATGGCAGGAGGTTACACCCAAAACCAGAGAAATGATAAGCAAACTCAGCAAGCCCAGATCAAGAACCCCTATAGATAGCACCACTAAATTTGATAGAGAAAGGGTCAAAATAGAGATCAAGGTCTTTTTTATTTCAGGAAGAACCACCAGCCAAAAAATTGCACACATAATCAAAGCCTTAACTCTCTAAATGGCCTCCTTTTTATCCACAGTGAAGGAAAAGGTGAAGACAAACATATTATTGCTATTTTCAATGATCACCCTACTGCAGAAGAAGCATGCAACACTATCTTACTTGACACTGAAGATGCGCATCTAGAACAAATGGCCTTCACATTATCTAAACCAAATAAAGAAATGAGTATCAGAGTATGGGATATTCCTCTAAACACTAAATTTATAGACGTACAACAAACATTCACCAAATATGGGAAGATTAACAACATTTTCATGTCAACACAACAAATGTGGTAATCAGTAGTCATCACATATACAGATTAACAATCAAAAGAAGATCTAATCAACAAGTGGAGTATCCTGTTGCAATCAGACTCAGTCAGGATTTTTGATATACAAGGGGACATGGACCAAATGAAAGCATGTGGCAATATTACAGTAAAACTGATCAATTTTCCTCCCAATACAACAACCTTCAATCTCAAATACATATATGAACAAACAAAAGCAAAAACATGCTACATTCCAAGACATATGTCATACAAATGCAAGCAATTTGTTATAGTGGGATTCAGTGATCAAAATGATCTAGAGAATGCAATAGCACAAAACTTCACCTTGGGTAAAATCTAAACTGAATGAAAACCAATCGAACAAAACTGTAAAAGACTTTATTTCAATAAGTTAGTGAACAATTGTTATTTGACCAACAAGACAACAAAGTTGTTTTATTTTAGGAGAGGCTTTTCGTCTCTATATAAGAATCTGGCCTAATGTACTTTTTAGTTAAAATAACATAAATAAATCTATAAATACAATAATTAAAAATACATAAATCTTGACATAACGGATGTTCAGACTTATGGGGCTATAATATAACTTAAAAAGAAAAACAAGAAGAAAAATAATAATAATAAAAGAAATAAATTGGTTCGCGCTACTACTGTTTACGGGGCTAATTTCTATTCTAGGAAAACAAGACAAATTGACTATAATGAAAGGCACTCAGCCTAGGATCGCTAAAGATGATATCAGATGATGTTACACAGAGTGTCCAAAAATAGTAGACAGGGCGGACTTCGGGTCCATAGTCACACAGAGTCATTTATACTTACACGGAATTGAAGGGGCAGGCGCGGATTCGTTACATTCTCCTCTTCTTAAGATGAAGACGTCCTCGTCTTCTCGAACTCTTCAACCTTCGCTTTGGCATTTATCAAGTGGTCTGCAGGTTCCCATGTTGCTTCATGGAGAGGATACCCAAGCCATTTCACTAGATACTAGGGTTTCTTCTGAAGAATCCTTTTGTCTAGGATGGTTTCAACTTCATATTCTTCCTGTTCAGTTTTGGGCAGAACAATAGCAGGAGGTGGTGTAGATCGGAGAAATTCATTTGGGGCGGCTTGGTATGGTTTCAGCAATAAAATATGGAACATGGGGTGGATCTTCATTTCAGCAAGAAGATTCAATCTGTATGCGATCGGAGAGACTACTTGTGTCACTTGATAGGGTCCGGTGAACCTCAGAGTCAATTACTTAGTAGGCCGGTTTCGATCAACAGGAGTATTGGTATTCTTCAAAGACAGAAGAACTTGGTTTCCTACTTTAAATGTTAAGTGACGTCGATGTTTATTCGCATATTTTACTTGCCTTTCTTAGACTTTCCTTAAAGCATCTTTTGCCAATTCAATCATTGAAGTCCAGTGGTTCACAAAGTCATCTGCGGCTGGTACTTCTGATGGTGTGGTTAAGGAGATCAGAGTGTTTGGATGTTGTCCACAATCCAATTCAAAGGTTGTGTATCCAGTTGATGCTTGTTTGGAATTGTTGTACGTAAACTCAGCAGCTGGTAGGTATTCATCCCATTGATCTTGTCTATATGTCACATAGGCTCGGATCATTTTCTCTAATGTGCAATTCATTCGCTCTGTCTGTCCATCAGTCTGAGGATGAAAGGCTGTCGACATGGCAGTCTTGGTACCCAGGTGTTTGA